TTATTGCTTTTAGCAGTGAGAGCACTATTTATTGTCTCTTAAGGACTATGTGGCAGGTTAACAATGCCTTCAGTTTTACGCTAGCGAAAAGGAAAGAAGCTCACTAATGAAATGGCCTGCCCAGCTTGTTTAGGGGTATAATGATTTCTTAGTGGTACAGTACTCTATGAATAAGTATCTCCAGCTAGCCCGACGTATTAACGTGGTATTTGTTGAACTGGTCTTTCCCGAGGTTCTTTTTTCTGAGGCTGGGGGCAACAGAGGCAGGATTAAAACGGTTTAAAAGCTTAATCTAGCTAACTAATTCTAACTTCATTATACTCTCTTAAAATTCTCCCTACACAGAGGAGATGCTAGTTTTACAACGCTAATCTAAGGAACAGAAGAGGTATCGAGGGTATTCACAACCGCGGTACTTCAGCTTCTTGGCGTTACTGCTGGTACCAACGCCGTGTTCTGCGGTCCCACACCCACCTTGCAGATGATTTGTCTGAGACTGCAGATGGGGCTTCCTTTTGGAGGTGCATTTCTCTTTGCTGCTGTTCCTGTTCTCTGCTGGTTTGGTCTGAGGAGGGTCATCGTTCGTAGTCAGATATTTGAGAAGTTCAGAGCAGGGGCGTCTTTGAGGCTTTTGCTGTTGACAAATGCTCTTCGCTTTATTGCTCCATGAATTCTCAGTCTTAAAAACAGGGCATAATCAAATAAAATAAAGTAAAAAAAAGCTAAAATTAGTGAGCTGAACCTTATCAGAATGGATATAGGTTTTCTGAAGAGATGAGATTTTCAATGAAGTGTTCAGTCTAAGTGTACTAGATCTATGAGCTGTGAATAATTGTTTGCAGAACAAGGAAAGAAAATTACATTTAAAATTCCTAAATGACATTTATGCAGCTTTTTATTTCATTTCTCCTACATTTCAATGTTCCTACTCAGCAACATGTAACTAACAAGACCCTACAGCGCCTTTACTGTGAACAAAAAAATAAGCTGGTTTAAACCTTAATTTGCTGCTGATTGCTTGAGCCCAGTATTCACAACTCTCTTAAGTACCCCTAAACGCTCCGTTTTCAGTTACAGTGAACGGCAAGACAAACATTGTTTAATACCGCCTGCTAACAGAATTATGTCAGAGCCCCCATTCTATCCAATTAATGGCTGATATACATCTTTTGCCAAGAATCCAGCGTCATTTTTCTTAGCTCAGACAGCTGGTAAAATGGCAGTCCTGCATCCTGGAGTCCCTCATAAACAACACCAGCCCATCAGCAAATTTTATCATACCCCCTACTACTGGCTTTATTGATAAAGTAGGTAGGAGTAACAGACAGTGGGACTACAACTGAACTCTGCCAAGAGAATAAGCATAGATGAAATATTCAGAGCATAAAGGAGTTCAGGTGATTTACTGGAACCCCGTCTGTAATCTGTTCACTTTTAAGCAGTTGCAATACAGTAGGCAGATTAATACAATACATATAGATCTACTGCTTGCTTGGTTGCCGAAAGCACAAAAGATCTTGTTACACTTCTTTCTTTCTTTCTTTTTTTTTTTTCCCCCTTATTACAAAGATTAAGTTTGTACCTTAACAACCACAGGGCTTGTTCTGATCCTGTGATTAGTGTTTGCATGGTTTTGTGTGCTGAGACCACTGCATTCATTGTAATTTAGCTGAGTGTTGGCTGGAGCCAGCAAGAGCTTCTTAAGCTACAAACACATCAGGGAAAGGGAGATGGAAGGAAAAGAGTCAAGTTATGCATCTTTATGGATTAAAATGACTTATCTACATTTCTGCATAGTTACTTAAAGCTAACAATATCAATTTCAGCAAGCAAAGTACAATAAAACAGAAAGAAGGGCCTTGGATTTCTGAATCCATGGCAAAATGAAATTCTCGGCAATCTGTTTGACTGAAGAGGCCTCTGATCTAAAGAGAGACCTTAACTTCAACAGACTAATGGATACAGTGTCAAGGTGCAGGAACCTGGCTCTGCTTCCGCAGAAGCTGGTGATAAGGGGCTTTCAGCAGAAATAGAATCACAACTCAAACTGGTTTTACTAAGCAAAATGCGTGTAAGGTTTCACCCACATCCTCATCCCAGGTTCAGTTTTGCCCTGATTAGCACTACGCTGGTGCTTACTGGTCAAATCAATGTTAAAGGCACAAAATTAGCCCTACATCCCCCCAGACTCAATGGGCCTTTCTTCACAGATTACCAAAAGTGATGTCTAAACATACACACAAAAAGAGCCCCGAGAAACGAAATATGAATTAAAAATCATTACCCTGACTTATTTGAACAGAAGGATAAGCAAAAGTGTCAGCCATTAGCACAAGCATCTCAAAAACAATCTCTTCAACACACTCTTTAATAGATTGCCTTATTAGTCATCCTATGGCTATTTGGTGGGATTTTTCCCTGCTTAATTTTCAGTTCTTTACTTGATTTTCCTCTCCAGCCTAAATGAAAAGTCCAGACCTTACTGTGACTACATCATACCCATGCAGCGGGTAGCCAGAGGCACATCCAATTCCTGTTAAACAGTAGGAAGGGTTCTTACTAGAGACGGCTCTTCTGCCTCCTGAGCTGGAGGGGTGCCGTCGGGCATCGGGGAAGGGCTAGAGGCATTTTCGTTGGTCACATCTCCATCTGTCAGTGCATCAAATGAAGGTAATCCATCCTCATCCACAGGGATGCTGTCCAGTGTTTCAGTGAGAACGGCTAGCAAGTTTGCCTCACTCTCTTCATCTATCTTCTGCGGGAGGGGAGAAAACAAAAAAGTGGAACCAGGTGAGAAAAGGAACAAAACAATGTCCCTGTATAAGAAAAAGCAGTTTTCATGTACATACACGCAGTTAAACCAACCCTAGAAACAGTAACCTGCAACAGCATCTTGGAAGATGTAATTAAGCACAATAAAATTATCCATCTCTGCGTTCAAGAGCAATCTCTTTGTGGTTGCACTGTGTTGCTCTAGTTTACTTTTATTCCACAACTCTTTTTTTTTAGTCAATGTTAACAATGAGAAGTAATCACCCAGGGATTGTATTACAGGATGTGCCTAAGCTGCTGACACCTAATGATGGTGTCAGCCCAGGCTGTCTCTTTCTTTCTCTTTTCAATGCTGAACATCAGCTAATTGACCTGACAAAATTACAAGAATCAGAGAATAAGACAGCTAATCAGAAGACCAAAATGAATCGCCAGTGAAATTTGGAAAACCTTGTTCACATACGTGGCCTGGTGGGAAAGAATGGTTTTCCCTTCCATGATTCTGAAAATCCTGGCTCCAAAACCCAGCACAAACCTTCTAACTCCTGAGCATTTTGGCTCAAGAGTAGCCATCAGGACTCAGTGTAGATGGCACCTCTTTGGGCTTCTTTTAAAGAAATGTATTAGGCAGGTTGCCTTTGAAGTCATCCTTTCGAGTTACGTCTTTTGAGTGCTCAACGCGAGTATTGTATGCGTTTATCTTATTCAGACTGCAATTATAAAAAGTAGATTAATTCCTAATCAGATGTGGCTATAATGTTAATTTATATTAGATATCTTATTTCAGCAACAAGACTTCTTTGTGTCAAACTGAGTAAATTTAAATGCCTTCTGACTTTTTAATGAAATATAGTCTCTACTGTATATTAATGTACAGTTTTTTTGAGTACAGAGAGTTCTGAAGAATGGAATTGTGTAAAAATAATTATATTTATTTTTCAGAAAGACTGGAAATTGATCTTGACAGATCAATTATCTGGGATTCCTAGGCTGATTCTTAGTGCTATTAAAATAAATGAAAAGCTTTTCACTGATTCCAGGGATATCAAATTGGGAGTTTTCCCACCAGCTTCAGAGTGGTTCATCAAGCTCCAGGTTCACACTGTGAAGAGATTTCAGCTGAGTTCAAACCTCATAGTTTAAAAGTGAACTAGCAAGGAATATACCAGTAAGACAAACAAAAGCTATCCGGTTAAAAACAAACAAACAAACATGAAGTTGAAAAAGTCAATAAAAAACCACTGCCAGTAACACCTCAGAAAAGACAAAAAAATCAAGTAAATCTGGGTGTCCCCTTAGCATGACTTTTTTTCAGTAATGCTGTACCTACCAGACTCCAAACAGAGATGCTCGCAAACCACACAGGTAGTTGCTCCTGCCAGGCTTCTCTGCCAAATCACACCTCGTGGCTTCTTCAGAAAAGCTCTGTCTCCGAGCTAGAAAGCTATGGCAGAGCACATACTGTCCTGGTGCTTCCAGCACCATCCCCAAGAAACAAATGAACGCTCAGGCAAAGCTAGTGCTTTACTTAAAAGGCCAAAAAGGTCCTGGCCACTGAGAACGAGTGTACGTCCTGGTATCTGGTGACTTCCACCATACCAAGCAGACACATGAACGTGCCATGGTAATTCCGTGTGCAGAGGATGGAAATAGGCAGAGGGAAGCCACCTTGCAAATAAAGCCACACTCCAAATGCAGGTTTTCACGGACACTTTCTGAGAGGCAAAGAGGAAAATTACGGTGTCACTTCTAGAAAAGCACAAGAAGGTGTTAGTAGGTGAAAAAGCACTCTGCGATGTAACGAAGCGCTGCCGTTTTTCCCAGCGGCGTTTCAAACCCCTTGCAGGCGGTGGGATGAATGGTGGCGAGAGCCAGCCCTCAGCCCCCCGGGGGGGTCTGGCTGCCTGCTCCCAGCCCCACACCAGGGACTTCCCCAGCAAGTCCAGCTGGTGGGGCGCACCACCGCCCCCCCTTACCGAGCCATCCAGCTTATAAAGCTGACAACAAAGCTGGAAGTGTTACTATTTCTAATGGGGAATGCCTTCTTTAATAACAGCCTGCCAGAAGAAACCCTGATATTTGCTGTTAGCTGCTCAGCTCTCGTGCTTTAACAGACATTCAAGTGCGCTGACATTCAAGAATAGAAAGTTGAGTGGACACTGGTCCTCATCACAGCAATTTCAATTAGTTTTGTACAAGTTTCAACATTCAAACACCCCAGAGAAAGCACAGGATGTGACAAAGAGGACTCTGTTAAACAATTAATGTCACTTTCCATTATTGCTTCAGTCCCAATTTACAGAGCAAATAAATCAAAGTCACCACAGATGAAGCACACTAGCTGGCTAACACATGTCTATTCACAAACGACATGGCACCAGGAACACATTAGTCAAGAAAATGACATTGTGAGATAACCTTTCAAAGATTTAACTATGCTACTGCTTCTAATTGTCCTAAATTACTGTTTATAAACAAGCACAATTATTAGATACAGCAGAAGTGGTGCTGAGGGGAGATGCGGAGGGAGAGATGGCCGGGTACCTCAACGTCTGAGCAATAATCACTGAAGCAGCAGCTTTCTGCTTTGCTATCGCAACCTGAGTCTTGGTGTTGACAGCACTGGGGAGAAGCAATGCCATGGCCAAATGCAGGCTCTTTCTCGGTTTCAGCACCATCACCGGAGAAGTCTGTGTTTCAGACTGGCATCCAACCTGCGCATCACGCAGGCTCAGTGAATCAGGAGGAGCTGAGCACCTCCGATCTCCGCCGAGGACAGAGGAAGCGCTGTGTGCGCTCAGGAACTTGCCCTGCCGTGTCCTTAGCTTCCAACCAGGGTCACAGTGAAAGGCTTTGCTTCTCTCTAAAGGAGGAGATCCTAAGTATTTAGAGCGGCTAAATGAACAAGAGTGTAAGAAAAGGGGTGGAGGATAACCTCGGACGTAGAGCTGCATGGCAAATACACGCAATTATTATTAAAAACTCATGAAACCATAAGTAATGCATCTTGCTAACTAATGGGTCTTTTCACTGCAGATGCAGTTACACATCACTTCCCAGCCACATGACACAAACTTCTTAACACCCTTGGTTGCTAGTTTAACATAAAGGCATCGGGGCCAGAGGGGTTTTCATCTCTGTAAATCTTCATCTAGCTGAAGGAGGCAAGGAACCAGAGTATGTCACCAAACACACGTTGATTCCACGTTTCTGACAGCAAAAGTTGCTGGCATATCCAGGATGGCATTAGTTCTGAAGAGTAAGATTTGGCACTGGTGTCCCTTTTCATGGGTGAATGCAATGGGGAAAGCTGGCTAGTGGTGCAGACTGCCGGAACACCAACCGTTCCTCAGAAATGAGTGATCTAGGAGCCCAAAGGCCATGAAAAGTTTCTAACTGTGCTTTTCTCTGTTTTTACATGTTTTGCTCTAATGCTTTAACATTTCTACAGCACTAGAAATAATTCTCTGTCTGAAAACACTTTATTAGTTGTGTAACAATCTTATTCTAATTGGGTTTCTGCCTTCAGTAAAATGTCTCCAGAGATATTCTCTCTTTGGCCAGTGAAAAGCTAGAAGAAATGAGTTGATAATTTACCCACACAAAGGTATTTAAATCCTCTACCCTTGATAGTTCTTTTCTCTTTTGCTTATTCTGCCGACTGATGGAGTCGGCTTCACCTCGTGGTTAGCATTTTATGTCTATTACTGTACCTCAAGGAGTGAAAACAGCTAATGAATGATGATGATGCTCTAAAGTTTCTTTACTGATAATTTGAACAGTACAGGGGCCCTTCTTGATACATGCTGGAAAATCAGGGTCTAAACTGTGGTATCTATCCCCAGCCCCAAGGAGCTGGGAGCAGTGGCAGCTTGCCATGTCTTCTTAAAAGCCCAGGAAACTTTGGGACAGATCCGCAGCTGGTGGAAGCTGTCACCGCTCCAGCAGCCCAGCTCAGTAAGCAATTCAGAGCAGCCAGGTGTACACCTGAACTCACGAGGGATCAACATTTCTACTCACTTCTCAGTAGCCTAAGATCTATTCATAGCACAATTAACAAAGAAAATAAAAGATTTTCCTCCAGCTGAAAATATCCGAGTGATCTAAAAATACTAATACATTATGGCACTGCTTTCGAAAGTACACAAATGACTTGTGAGCACACCTGGGACTTCCAACAGGATTTAATTTCTTAATGACACATTTTGGTATAAGAACATCCTTAAGATGCACACCGCTAGGAAAGTAAGGGCTACAGTTTAGCCCCTTTTTGCACTTGGGGATGCAGAGGCATCAAAAAGCTCACCACCACCACCCCAGCCCTGAGCACCTTCTGTCAACAAACACGGAGGAGTAGGTGCAGATGGCATCTCAGCCCTGGCCCCACAAACCAAGTTTTGCTGCCTGAGGAGAAGGAGCCACAGGCTGGGCAGAAGCAGAGGGAAGGTAGGAGGGACGGGATTAGGATGCAGACTGGTCTTCCTGCTCCTGCCAGGGAAAAATGAGAGCTGAGGCCAGGGACAATGAAAGGGAAGAATTACAGCCCAAGTTTTCCTTCTTCTGGAGCAGAAGGAGCCAACCTGCCACAGCACCAGCACAGACTGTGCTGGCACAGTGATCTTGGTGCCTTCTCAATGTGCTGTCTAAGACAAGTGCCTCCTTTTCCTTGCCTTAGAGCTGGCCGCACCTGGCAGTATTTTCTCCCAGGGCCAAAGAGGAATCAGTGGTCCAAGAGGAGAACCACTTGTTCCACTACACCTGCTCACAGCCAGTCCCATGACATTAAGTATTTTGAGAAGTATTTCAGCTTTTATCTTACTGTTCGACTGCTTTGCAAATCCTTAGGCATCCTGTGCTGTCTTAGAGTAAAAATCCACATGATGCATTTGCATTAGAACGTTTTTCCAAGGTCTGTTAGTCTGGTCCCCAAGAGACATTCCCATAATTGAAATGCTTAAGTCCAGAGCTATCAATTATCTTTAA